CCAGCGCAAATACAAGCCGGCCGATCCCACGGCCCGGCTTGCGGCGCTCCAAACGATTCAACCACCTAGGGAGGGGGTTCTTTTTTACTGCGCGTTTTCGCCGGTAGGGACGGAACCGGGACGGATCCGGCACGCTCCCCAGATGTTGAGGTGGGATCGCGCCGGTTTACTCCGCCCCCGTTCCGTCCCGCTCCTGGCCCAACTGGGCTCATATGAACAGGGCCTGAGATTAACTAATTTATTTATTTAGGTTTTTTTAATGGATTCACAAATGGTTGAATGGAATCCAAATGGAGATAACAAATCAAGAGCTCACCAGTTTGGTGTAGTGGTTAAGTGCACAGACTCTAATCTGGAGGACCCGGGTTTGATTCCCTACTCCTCCACTTGCACCTGCTGGATGACCTTGGGCAAGCCGTAGTTCTGATAAGAGCTGTTCTTGAAAAAAGAGCACTTTCTGTCAAGAGCTCTCTCAGCCCCACCCACCTCACAGGGTGTCTGTTGTGGGGAGGGGAAGGGAAGGGAGTTTGTAAGCCGCTCTGAGGCTCCCTTGGGTAGTGAAGGACGAGGTATAAATCCAACCTCTTCTCTCTTCTTCTTCCTCAAAGCAGATCTCTAACTTTATTTTATTGTAGAATGAACTGGAGAGTCTTTTTAATTTGTCTTCAGAATATTCACCAACTATGTCCCGGATTGAAGCTTGCCTCCTATGTGCTCGAAGGCTAGAAGATTTTAGCACAACCCAGCCTTTCTCATATATTCCAGACTGCATGCAAGCTGGAGGAAATCCTCATCCCAGGCATAGCGGCATTTTTAAGTACCCTTTCTGGCTGTTTATAGAGCTAGGGAGGCATGGGGCAGCAGAGTCATAACTTGTGAATTCCAAATTGGTAGCCATATTAGTCCCTAGCGGCAAAAATAGTGGCACCTTAATCTATTCCACCTTAATTCTGGGAATGTTGACAATTCCAGAGTGGCTGAATGTACTACGTACAAATACAAACCTGGCCAAAGGCTAGCAGGGAACGTGGGAATTTAAAAAGTTCCAGTGCCCCCTTTGGACACAGTCCTTATCGTACACATGGAAATTGATGGGTGCTCTTAAACTGAGAGCTTATTTAATACATTAAAATGACTTAAGAAATTTAAAGTTAGACAGTGTCATAGATGCAACGAACATGAAGTTGAGCCAACTTCAGAGGACGGCGAAAGACAGGAAGGCCTGGCGGGATCTGGTCCATGGGGTCGCGAAGAGTCGGACTCAACTGTGCGACTGAACAATAACAAAACATATCCATAAATTGCCGTTGTTATTCACATTTGTTATTATTTTTCTTCAAAATGACTCCTCTTCTGTATCTTTCTTTCATCCCTTAGGAACAATACGTCTTTCTAAACCAATGTGTTATGGATATTATTAAATCCAAGAAAGAAAAGAAAGCAGACCTGATCTATCAAAATACAAATGCCATGGCAATCTATGAGAATTTTAGACCATCGCCACATCTTGGGAAGGCAAATGGCTACCACGTGTAACAAGTTATACGCTTCTACCATGTATAGGAAAGGGAATATGCACTGAGGTTTTTTTCCCTGTCTTTATGTAAAGAGACGTTTAACTGATCTGAAGATGCACATATAAAAACGCCAATGAGAACTGTGGTTTAATGCATTGATCACAGGAAATCTGCTCTGATGCATTATTTTATGGAAGGAATTAACTCATATTGACTGAACAGTGAGATCTTTTTTTAAACGTAAAAATAATTACTACAGAGACTTTTAGAATCAAGCCTGAATTCAAACTTGGAAGGAACTGGATCTATTCTACACATTCCAGTAATGTTAATTTGTAGACAGTGATAGCTTTACCAAATGAATGGTCATAGAACAGTGACGGTTCAAGTTTATTTCTAAAAATATCTTTTGTGAATTGGATTTTTAAATATGTAATTGTGCCTTTTTTCCTGTCCGTTTTGCTACAGACAAAAATTATCAGAGTCTTATATTTTTGTATGGAAATTCTCATTGGGAATATAACATTTAAATAAGATTAATAATTTCTGTGGAATAGTTTTGCTGATTCTTCCCTCCTGGAAGTGGTAATGTATGTCACTTGAGTCCTGCAAAGGGTTTACAATACAACGTGTTCAGTTGGTTGTGTGCAAAGAGCAATGATTATGTGATAGCTGTTTCATAAAACCGAGGTATCATAGCTTTCTCATAGGACTTAAGGTGAAACGACTCCTCTAGTTTTGTGTTCATTTGTGTGATTTAAAAATGCCTTCCAATTTTCATCCGTTGTTGGCACTTGTTGCAAACTTTTGCATTATTTTAATGCTGTTAGTGACCTTTGATACCACCGTGCTTCTTTTGGTGGGATGATGTCACAGGTGTCTCTAAACGTGAGTGTGTGAATCGCCAATCAGATCAAGCAGTTTGCAAGTACAAATGAGGGCAGGATAAATGAATGGAAATGATGCCGAGAAATAGCAGCAGTCAGCATGACAAAAACACAACAAAACAACATGTACGTTTGGTAACATGAGTAGATTTTTCAGTAATAAGCTTGGCTGTATTGGAATATATTCCTTCCAAGGACACTGTCCTGCTTTCTTACCAGGAGAACCAAAAAGGTTAGAAACAGGACTGTTGAACATCCACTGGCTGCTTAGAAAAGTAACGTGGGTGGGTCTCTGACTGCACAGAGAGATGATCACCTGTCGTCTTGAATAAGTGCCACATTATCACACACACCTTTCCTCAGGTTTAGGAGTTTTTTCAGAAGGGCTCACCGCGTGCAAATTGGCTTTAGTCTGCCACTTGCCTATGTGGTTAAGGCCATCAGTATATGTTAAGCTTTCAGGGTGCCTACAATGTGGTTAGCAGTTTATTCACATGGTAAGCTTATCATTTGATTATTGCAGTAGTTGATCTTGGGGACTGGGCATTAGTGGTGTCATTTAGGGAAGAGGAGGGTAATTCAATCTGGGCTTTAACCATTGTTTTTCGTGTGGTGTGTGTGTGTATGGATATGTTGTGTTATGTACTGTCGGCAGGAGGAGATCCTCCCATTTCTGGCTTATATGTCTACTGTTTTATTGTACCTAATAAGGATCTATTTAAAAGTGCAATATGTGGTTTACTGAATGAATGATTGCCTCTATTTCCATAGAGTTTTACTCAGGTTAAAGATGTCCTCTTAACTTGTCTTGTGGTTTGCTCTTAAATGTCTAATTTTATGTCGTTTTTATTTTTCTTATCAAAAATAAATGTAATTCTACTGATTCTGCTAACTGCAGAATGTGACTTTAGCCAGTTAAAACTGAGGTGTATATATATATATATTGTTAGTGTTTTTGTATATCAAAGATATATAATTTTTGTTTGCATTGTGCTGCTGTAGTTGTAATGGCTACAATTAATGAAAATTGAAGGATTCTCTTTAAAAGTTTTCTGTTGGTACACTGATTAAAATTATGAAGGCATTCCTAGTGAAGGACTTGTTTGAGAAATGGGGCAGGAGTTTGTTACTATTTTAGTCAATGCGCTGGCAGCATTAGAAACGGGTGTGATCTTTGCCTGTATTATAGAATTATCTATGAAGTATTTCATTATTGCAGGCCCCATTCTGCACCTCAGCTTCCTTTGTTGTGAACACCTCTTTTGAACGGAGCATGTGCGGGCAGGATGCTTGCGTAATGATTGCAGAAGTTATCCTTGTTTCTGTAGTATTTTAAAGTCTGTGTGGCAAAATCTGTATCTTTTGGGAAATAAGATAGCTCTGAAATTTGAAAAACAGTTGCCCTACTTGTACTGGTCCTATTGAAGTCAATGATCATGGTTTTTTCCTTTATCTGTGGTCTTTGTATAGAATGGCATTGAGTTTTGTATGTTTCAAATACATTCACATTATTTTTAGAAAACAAATTATTTAATTATTTTTGAATACGCTCCATGTCTTCCTTTTTTTATCATAAAGTATCTGTATGCAAGACCCTGACAAACTTTAATTGCATTCTGTGTTACAAGTGAAAGAGTTATCCTGTATAATTTTGGAGGCAGTTTGGTAAGGACCAGGGCTATTTTTGGGCAGGAACGCACAGGAACGGAGTTCCGGCTGGCTCCTGA